AAATTCCCTATCTGCACTCACACACACACACATATATATATATATATATATTCTCCACAAATATCTATAGAAATTTTTCTATATTAATCTTTCAAAAATGAAAGTGTATTCAATATAGCCCATCCCTTAAATTAAAATGTTATTATTGTTCATGGGGTGAGAAGTTGATGACAATTATAAATGTTTTCTGAATGAAGATTACAAAGTACAGATGTGATAATGTTTAGTAAAAACATATCTAAGTTATATTGCACAAAGATGTGATGATGGTTTTAGAACTTGTAAGCCTATATTAATGTATTCAATTGGTCTCCAATGCTGGAAATATCTATGTTTGCTAATTTTGAGGGATGATCATATGCAGGATTTATATAGACTGAGTATTAATATTCTTGTTTTTTAATATTTATTTTTTATTTGTACACAATACATTTATTTTGTTTATTTACTTCTATGTGGTGCTGAGGATCGAACCCAGGGCCTTGCACATGATAGATGAGCACTCTACCACTAAGCTACAACCCCAGCCCCTTAATATACTTCTTTTATAGCAAATTCAAGCCTTTTGAATTAATATCATAAATATGCAAGTAGTAGTATTCTTGATATTTTTAGATGGAAGAGTATAGGTAGCATTAAAGCAATGCCATATAGAAAATAAACATATTAAAATTGTATCTTACACTTTACTCACACTGTGATATTGCTGTTTTATTTAAAAAATGAAATATAAATTCTCAAGAGTGGCCATGCTTATATAGCAATTTCAACAACTCTTTGGAAGATATATTTCTAAGAAGCTATGTAAAACTTTAAACATCTTGGGCAAAGAAGAGGGAAAGTTATGGTGGTAGTAGTTATCTGTAATGGACATAATAAAAATGAAATTTTTATGTTTTTAATTGTATGTCTTTATTTGACAACATAATTAAAAAATTTTATGGTTGATGGTTGCCCATTGGATTTTTTTTATTGTCCCTGAATTTTGAATAAATCAAATTACTCTTTACCTTCTACTATAGTGCTTTGTAAAATACAATTGTAAAGCTATTTTTAAAATAGTACCTTTTCTTAAACAAAATCATAAAGACTACCCACATTATATTGAAAATTTCTTATGCAAATTGAATGATTTGACTATGTATTCATTTGAAGATGTATGGGCCTATCTATGAACAAAATGGTCAAGAAATATTCTAACTCCTTTATTGTCATTGAACAAAGGAATGTGGTTGTCTTTAATGACAACTAAAGTCATCAACCTGGCATCTTGATTGTTTTTTATTTTTTTATTTTTATTTTTGCAGGGGACAGGGTTTGTGGATTGAACCCAGCGGGTATTTACCACTAAGTCACATCCCCAGCTTTTTTTTTTTTTTCAATTTTGAGACAAGGTCTTGCTAATTTGCTTAGGACTTCCCTAAATTGCTGAGGCTGGTCTTGAATATATAATCCTCCTGTCTCAGCTTCCTAAGCTGCTGGAATTACAGATATGCACTACAACACTTGGCACATCTTGATTCTTTTAAACAATTTTCGTTTTGTTTCATTTTTTGATTCCAGTTCATAGTGCATCACCAGATAAATGACTTGCTAGTTAGAGAGATTTAACCATTATTTATCCTTGGATTTTTGAGTGACAGTTCATTTGAAATAATAGCCATGCTATTGTTGCTAGTAGATGAATTAACAACAACAACAAAAAATATAAGTCAAGGAAAGAGCATTAACCACAAAAAGATTTGAGGTACCTAAAATATACTTGTTTTCTCCAATATACACCTTGACTTTAACTTCTTTGAGGATGAAATTTTGCTCTTTCCAGATGTGAAAAAGCTATCATTCTGACAGGTTCTGAAGGATATGGAATATAGGTCCCAGGACATTTCCCCTATTTGTAGTAGTTCCCCCACCTGCCTTGTCTAGGGTAAAATTGAAGTTTTTGTCAATTAAAAGCAGAGGCAGCAGCCAGAGATAAGGAACACAAAAGGAACTCACACCTGACTGGCACGTGACCCTCCACCCTAATGTGTCAGCTGTCTCCAATATAATAAGCCCCAGGAAATTCCCTATCCGCACTCCTGTCCCACCTTAATAGATCAGCTGACTCCAATACAGTGAACTCCAGGAACTACCATCCTGTCCAACCCTGAATGAAGCCTATAAAACTCAGACCTTTACTTAAGCCCATTGCCATTTTCTGCCCCCCAAATGAGCCCCATCAGATGTTTGATGGATTAACTCTGCCTCTGAATAAAAAAGAGCTTGCTGATACAAGGTCTGCCTCCTGCCTCCTGCCTCCATCATCTTGTGCTTACAGGTGCAATATGTAATATCAAATCCTAAGAAAGAGGGACTGATGCATAGTCATGGAGTGGCAGTAGGAGGATTGTATGTCTCAGAGACATGGACCTGTAAGTGGTGTCTCCCCTTATGAGTAGGTGAAAATCTCCAAGAGAATTTCAGTGGATAAGAAATCATGGATCTGTCTCAACCTGTTCCTAAATCTAAAGTTAACCTCAGAATATAATGAAACACCTGTATGAGTTACAACTTTAAAAATCCAGAAATATACAAAGCTGAGACGGTACATGTCTGTTGATCTACCTTCTATATCCTTGCTAAATTACACATACATCCAAAAATCCCTAGTAAATTTAAGTCCATCAGTTATCTGATTTCATCTCAAATGTATATAATTCATTATATAAACTTCAATAAAATCACAGAGTTCCTGGAATTACCCTTAATTTCCACATTCACATTTTTTTTTCAGTACTACAAATTGAGCTCACTCACCCTCTTTTTATTTATTTATTTATTTATTTATTTATTTATTTATTTATTTATTTATTTATTTATTTATTTAGATAGTGTCTTGTTAAGTTGCTCAGGCTGGTCTGGATCTTGTGATCTCCCTGCCTCAGCCTCCCAAACAGCTGAGATTGCAGGTGTGCTCCAACTAAGCCAGGTCCACATTCACTTTGTACTGCTGGCCATGCCTGCCTTTGCTTTGCTTTTAAGTATCACTTGTATTTTACTGTTCTAATTCCTTCATCTTCTCAAACTGGAATAGTCTGGTAGTATCATTTAAACTATTTCATTGTAGAAAGCAAATGGCACTAAAAGGCCAAGTACTTAGGAAACAATGTAATGGGTAACTATATTTATATAAAATATGTAAAATTGGCAGGTTTGACATTTCCACTTTAAGTGGCATCTGTGTGTTATTTCTAAATGTGAAAAAAAGAACTTTGTTCTTTTTAAATAACTTTCAGGAATCAGCAAATATATGGGCAGCACTTTCTTGGGCAAAAGGCCCAGAAATCACATTACAGAATTCTGAAGGTCAATCCAAGAGGTAAATCTGACAATATTTTTCAGGCTGCTGTATTCAAGAGAGTCAAAAGACAAACACAATTGACTTGCTGAGTGTGAGCCCTGTAGATGTCATTCAGAGATCTGGTCTGAATGTTATGTCCAGGAGCCCATTTTCAGAAGCTTCCAGATCAGAGAATGGCATATTCCATTGCTACCAGTTTTTGAAAGTGTAGAAATCCACCTTAGCTTTGACCTAAAGAGACTAATTATAGTTTACAACTCAGAATTTACTGAGAATTATAAGTAGATGTCAAACTTTACTTAATTTTTGTATTTTTCTCTAAAAAATTATTATGCAGGTTAATGGTAGAAATGTGGGTGAAATATCAAAAAGGATCTTGTTTCTTAAACTCTAAATTGTATGTACATTTGGCTGCTTTTAAATATTCTCAGAAAACATCCTTTTAATGGCTACATAACATCCAGATGAAGTCATATAATTTCATATGTATTTTTGGACATTTGTATTTTTTTAATTCTCATTATCACAAAAAATGATGTGATGATCTTTACTTATGTATTATCCTTTTCACCTTATTCAACAGAACATATTTCTAAAGAAAAAAAGATTCTGGATAAAAGGAATAATTTTGTTAAAGGCTCTTACTACATAATTTTATAATTCTTGTCAGAGAAGATTTTACACTCTTACCAAATATATATAATGAATATAGTAACATTTTAATATTTAA